TTTGAAGTCCTCGATCAGATTACTGCTTAGTAATTATTGCCAGGTGTCCATTCTCCTCTGCACACATGCACGTTTAAAGCATTCCGAGTGAGTCCAGGCTAGCAACCAATGGGGCAGTGAAGCTGTCCTAGGGTGCAAGGTAACATTATAAGCAATTTCTCAGCCTTGCCCAATTGGCTTGATAGCATAAGTCCTAAATTGCCATTGAAGTTATTGATAGTTTGACAACAAACAAAGGTTGTATAAATATGTAGCGTGAAGATAAAATTTCACTGGGCTGTAAGGATTAACGCAAGGGAAGTGTACTCAAGCAGCGGTAAATGGAAATCAATACTGAAAAGAGATAGGCAAAGCTTGTAAAATAAGTTTCCAATTACAGAGGAATGATTAAGAGCAGCGATAAGCTTATTACCAGTGTAATAAATCATCAAAGCATCGAAGTGCTGGTTCTTAAGTGGTGCATAATCTTGTACCTCTTTGCCATTATTACCTGCTTTACGTGACAGTCGCTGATCCTGTTTGTCCTGAATTACAAGGGACCGAGCAAATAGGGTAGATTTGTTCACTGGCTGCTCGCTGCAGCACATTAATGACATGCTTCTCTTTGACAATTGACTGGAATCTGACTTGACAACCCTCTGTTGCAGTATTCTGCTGCGTGACCCTGACAGACACTAATCTAGCACGCGTTGTGGTGTTAGGAAGACGTGCTACGTAAATACAGATTGATAAAAGTTTCAATTTCGATGAATGTATTCAAACAGATTTTTGCCTTATTAAATTATCTTTATATTTGATACAGAGCTTTATTATTGACACTTCTCAAAGCGTTTCACGGGATTTACTATGAAGTGTCGTCACTGTATATCTGTAAGCAGATGTGACAGCCAATGTGTGCACGTTGATGTCCTCAAAAAGACTGAATGGGCACGCTGATGCTCAGAGACTGTGTTCCCGTTTCATAGGTCATACTGACATGCAATATCTTATTGACAACATACGCTTCAGCTTTTGAATCAATCTTAGCTAGTGTTCACACCCAGGAGACGTTCCTTCCTTCCAGACATTAAGTTGCCAATCCTTGCCAGGGAAAATAACACGGGGAGCTAGCCAGATAATGGGAACGAGGGCAAATTGGCAGGGGTTCAACTCTGGGGCACATTTCAGCAACCTCGAGTGACTAGTTACACAGAGGCCAAGGTTTTGCTTGCTGCCCATCCTCTTGACTGAAGCTGACAGTGGAAATGATAGAATGGCATACAAGGGATTCACTGAATGAAGGTTTTAATAAGGGAATGAAGTCATACTCCAGCACCGGGGATCAGACAAGCACTGTAACAATGATCCTCCAGAATTACATATCCCTATCCTTCAATCCCCCCCCGCCCCAAGCCATAAAATATAATCTTAAAAAACGTTAAGTTAAAACTTTTTACAAGTAACATTTTTTTTACAATCATATCTCCAGCAGCCACTACCGCTATAATCCAACACTGATCATAACAATGGAGTCAGATGTCTAATATTTCCAAACACTTTCCACTCCTCAATTCAACAATAATATCACAATACATTTCTTGGAATAACCCTGCCTCAGCCACCACCCCCCCCACCCGACGCTAACAAATTGTAACATCAAAATCCATCTTGAAAATGTTTCAACTCATTACTCCTGTGTCCTATAAAGAATCATTCACTTTACGTCTCACTTTTCTTACTTTGTTTGCCACTTTCTCAGAATTAGTTTTTCGTATTTTTGTAGATTTTCAAATAAAAACCAGAGTCAGTAGGGTTCAAGCTCCACTTAAGGACTTTGAACTCACAGTACAGATCGAGACTCCAGTGCAGTGGATGTGCTGAATTGATGAAGGTGTCGGCCTTCAGATGACACATTAAACCAAGTCCTGTCTGTTTTGTCAGGTGGAACTTAAAGATCCCAAGACATTGCTTGAAAAGTAAAGGAAGGTTCTCCCAGTGTGCTGACCAACAGTCCTCCAGATAATTCACTTCATGGCTATTTGTGAGACATTGCTATGTGTAAATTGGCTGCGTGTTCATCTACAAAATGTACAGTCACTATACTAAAAAAACTTGTGAAGAGCTTTGACATGTCCTTCAGACGTGATCAGCGCCATTTATTATTATATTAAATTGGCTTGATAGGCATAAAGCAAAAAGTTTTTGCAAGCTTTTGCAAGAGCCCATCTATTCTCTTATGTCAGTTATACACTTTCACAGAGAGAGAAGCAAGAGATGTAATTGGCCCATGGGTGGGTTGAGTGGGCCTTGACCAGTAGGCCAAGGAGGCATTGACATGGGTCAAGATCTGTCAAGATGGATGGAGTTCTTTAAATGAGGTGACAGATCATTCACCACAATTGTGCTGAAGCACATATGAGAGAAAAGGGAAGAAAACAGCACATTCAGGCATCAGCATTTATGCTGTAACCTGAGGGTTAAACGTGAAATGTTGACCCTTAAGTCAGTAATAGAAGCCAGTGCTGACATGGAGGAGCATCATTGATATGGTTCAAAGGCTTTACTGTCCGTCTCTCACTCCTACGACAGGCATTCAAGTCTTTTATCACACCAGAGGAGGATTCTTTATTATATGATCTGGGGAATGACTGGGTTAAATAATTATCTTTGGATTTGATATAATGCCTGATCACATTATCGAGACATCTCAAAACGCTTCACAGAATGTAATGTCAAGTGGATTGACTGTATTTTGTGGGTAAAACTCAGCAGCCAGTTTTGCACACATCAAACTTGGTGCCATGGAATGAGTGACCAATGTTTTATTTGGGGGATTTTTGGTCAGGACATCAGGAGAAATTCTCTTCTCTTTTCGAATAATGCCATGGGATCTTTAATGTTTAATCTTTAATCTTTCATTCCAGAACACACCAGGTTTGTGTAGCCTCCCAACAGGGAGCTGGAGGTGACTAAACTTGATGCAACGTTTCCTAAAGTAGCAGCTCGGGTACTTTTGTTTTTAATATTTTGGCATCTTTACGGTAATCCTGAGAAAAATCTGGATCAAAACTGTGCAGTCAGTGTTCAGGAATGTTAGAGAGACCTATTCCTCTCCTACAGTTCCATCCCGCTCTCCCTTAAAACTACTGTCATTACTCCTCTCCTCAAAAACCCACCTTTGATCTCTCTAACCTTGCAAACTACCGTCCCATTTCCAACTTATCCTTCATTTCTAAAGCCCTGAAATGTGTTGTCAACCAACTTTGGTCACACCTCTCTCTCCACTACTTACTTGAGCCACTCCAGGCTGGTTTCCGCTCCACTCAAGGCACCGAGACAGTGGCCATCACAGTAATAAATTATGTCCTCTCTACTGTGACCAGGGCTCCCTCTGCCATGTTGTCTTCCTGAAGCTCTCTGCTGCTTTTCACACGACTGATTATGCAATCATCCACTAAGGTGGATGAGGGAAGAGAGGCGATATCATCTCTATTGCGATGGGTTTGCAATTTCCTGGTTTGAGTCATACTTAACTAACCTCCCTCATTTTGTCTCCGCAAATGGTTTTTCCTCCCATCTCCACTTTCCCTCATCCACTCTGACCATACCTCACACCCAACTCAACCATAATTCTTATCCACGCATCTCCCTTTTCGATTATTCCAATGCTCTCCTAGCCAGTCTCCCCAGCTCCACCATTCATAAAATCCAATTAATTCAAAGCTCTGCTGCTCATATTTTCATCCGCACCAAACTCCGTATCTCTATCCATCCAGTCCTTGCCATTGCTGTAGTATCACTATGGTACGACTTGCAACAAAAAAATTATAGATAAAAATTCTGCCTGGTTCTAGTATTAATGAAGCATTTCAGAGCAGACAGAATTTGTCAAATTCTTAAATACTGGTACAATCTTTCGTTTTGAAGCGATTTTTCTGTAAATTTATTTTAAGAACTAAGAAAAGGGCTTCAAAGTTAAAACTCAATTTGACAATAGCCAAATATTGCACACTCTGAAATGTTAGGTTAATAGGATAACTCTAGCCCCGAGTCTACTTTTTACCTATTGGTCTATGGTATATTAATTTACCCCACAGCTTTCAAAGAATATTATGGGCTGGCTATTCATTACTGGCAATGCTTGGGTTTCATTTCTAATGAATCAACCTATATGATTTAGAATTTATTGAAATGACTTTGTACAATATGAGTAAAACCAGGAAAAAAATCTTCAGGATTTTGGAATTGTCCATTCTGTCTTTTGATAACAAACACAGTTATCATCCAGAGAGTGCATGTGTCTGACTTCAAATACTTGCATGTACTATAAATAAATAGGGACGTATATAGGTTTTGAGACTGGGAAAGTCCGGGCATCAACTATACGATCATGTTTGCCAACATTTCCATGGGAAAGTTAGGTTGTCTTTTTTAGGGCTCAGATAGGGTCAAGGGAGCTGGTCTGCTGGAAAATAATAGCAACTTCTTAACAAACTAAGCATGTTTTATCTATTGGACAGTTATGTTCTTTGTAAAAACGAGGTTACCCAAAATGCATTCATTTTCCATTGTAGATGATGATGCTGGGCTTATTCTGAGAGAACAGAACATTATGTTTGGACGAGCACATCTCAAAGCAGGTATGCAGCATCATGAGAAACTAATGCAAGAAGGGCAACAAGGAAAGCATGTATCTACAAAAGTATTTAAGGAACATAACTCCTGCTCTCTGGAACTCTCTCCCTCAATCCCTCTGCCTTGCTCACTTCTCTATTTTGAAAACTCAGCTAATAACCTCTCTTCTCACTTGCAGCTCCAACCTCTTTAACCTTCCTGGCCTGACCCTTAGACTTATTAAACCTGTGTGCAATCAAGTTGTCAGGTTCGATCCTCAGCTTCCCAACCCATGTTCTGTCCCTGACCAGGACTGCTTTCCTCCACATTGCCACATTGCCCGCCTCCAACCGCAACTCATACCCAACACAGCCGAAACCCTTATCTACGCATTTGTCACATTTTACCTTGATTGATTATTCCAACGGCCTCCTTGCTGATCTCCCCAGATCCACCATGGAGTCCTGTAGCTCAGTGGTTAGAGTACTCGCTTTGCAAGCGAGAGAGCGGAGTTCAATTCCAGACAGGGCGAAACCTTCGGCAAATTTCCTTACTCCACACGCCTAATAATAATCCCTCCAAAACAAAAACAATAATAAATTGGTCATTTTCAATCTACGACTGCTTGTGGGACATTGCTGTGCGCAATTGGCCTCCGCGTTCGCCCACAAATATACAGTCAATTCACTTTACAGTATATTCTGTGAAGCACTTTGAGACATCTAGAAGACGTGAAAAGCGCTATATCAAATGCAAGGACTATTATTATTATTCATAAGATCCAATTAATTCAAAACTCCAATGCTTGTATCCCCACCCACACCAAACTCCATTCCCCCATCACCCCAGTACTTGCCAGTCTCCATTGGTTCTTTAAACTCACATAAATATTACTTCATGCCTTGAAATCTTCTTACTCTCTGATCTGCTTACTCCCAACTCCACTACCTTCGTTCAGCTGGCTCTGTCTCCTACATGTCTCTCGTTCCCTGCACTCCACCATCAGTGGCTGTGCTTTAGCGACTTGACCACAAAACTATGGAGCTCTCTAACTCAATCCCTCCGCCTTGCCTCATCCTTGCCCATCATCAGATCATACCAGAAAACCTTCCTCTTCAGACGTGCCTATGGTCACCTCAACTCACTTTCCCTCTCTCCCTGACTCGTATCAAGCTCTGCCACTGTTGAGTGTTCTGAGATGCTACCCTGCATGAAGAGCACTATATAAATGTAAATTATTGTTCTTTGAACAAAGTATTGGTCATCTCCTGTGTATCCACCGCCACATCTCCCACCCTACCCTGATTTCCACTCTGTGCTTTAAAATCTTCACCCACATGAAAGTTAGAATATAAGTGCAAATTGTTGTTACTGTTGTTGCAGGTTAGATTTAGTGGAAAAGAGAATTTCCCCTCAAGTATAAATCTAAGAGTGGAACCAATAACATATATACACACAAACATATATATGTAAACATGAGGTTAAGCAACTGGCTGGAATCACACAAATAGAAATAATGATTAGCAGTTATGGGGAACATGAAATACAATGTGAACGGCTTCTATAAATAAATTTGCAGCAATCAGGCCATTGGGGTCATCGGGGAAACATTAAGTCTGAATGGCAATGAGGTCTGAGTGGAGAAATAACTTGCCTCCTTTCAGAGGATCTGTCTTCGTGGAGTCCAAAACTCAGATTTAACACACCATCTCCCGTCTGACTAATAAAACGCAGCGTTGGTGAAATGGAGCGCAGAACTTGTCAACACTAGATGCACGTGGATTGCAGATCTCACATACACAGATGATAGACATAGAGAAGCATCCTTTTATGAATGATCCCACTGGTGCTATAAAGGCAATCAGGTCAAACCTCCAAGATACAGTCAATGCTGGATTCAAACCGCTTTGGGAATAGTTGCGAGAATCCACAATGGAGTGAATCATAAATCTCACAGGTGCTAATGTTCTATCCTCAGACAGAAGTGTATGATTCCAAATGTTATTTTCACCACTATAAAATATCAGTGACAGTAACAATGGATGCATTAAAAAAAAGGAGCTAGCCTTAATTTCACTGTAAGATCGTATTTTCTCATGGGAATTATTATGACAGTGAACCCCAGGTTACCAGATTTTGGGTATCAGGAATTCGGGCCTAGCCAGATCAGTCGCAAAACCTAAAATATTTTTAAATTTCCACAGGCTCTCCTAGCACATGCCAGTGATGTGCTGAGCAGCTTCACACTCCTTGCTGGCCTTCGCGGTGGCCAGAGATATCAACTTTGACTCAAATTGTTTGAATCCCACAAGCAGAAAATAGCTTATAGCTCATCGGAAGCACGAGAAGAGTAAAAAGGTATGCTTTAGACCTCTGAATCAGAGATTTCAAGATATAAAACATCTTTTGTTTGAAACGTAGGCTGATCTGAGGCTTCATTTTATGGGAAGGAAACTAAAATTCATTCTACAATAATGATTCCACAATGTAGGTCTGATACAGTTTAAATCTATTGCTAACAGAGGAAACATCATTGAGAATAAAAAATGCCTGGGAGATATTTTGGGATTCCCATATCATCACAAAGTGCACCTGGAAAGCTTTTGCGATTTATTGCTATCAACCAAACCACAGAATGAGATTAAAACTTTAAAATCACTTTACAGTGTCATAATTTACAGCAGTCAGCTTGTGGCACAGTTTTATTCCATTTAGGATCTTTTTTAGTACTAGTCATACCTCTCATGCCAGATGTTGAATGCTGATGTTACCCCCCAGATGTTTGATGGTCATTGAGTTACGAACAATAGTTGATCAGCAGGAAATAACCATGAGCATATCATTGTGTCAATGAGAGGTTAACTTTTAAGGGTTGACAGGGAAGATCTATGCTGTCTAGAAAGAAAATTGAATTTACCAATTAATTCAAATATCAATCTGCTTCAGTGTTAAAACACATGTTTTTCCTAAACCGCATAAGTCTGCACTTTAAGAGGTTTACTTTGAATGTGATATCATCAGGTTAACGGGACCTAGTGACCCCTTACATTCTTTTGCATTATTTTTATCCACATGAGTATTTAAATAATAAGGTGGATTCCATCAAGATCCCTGGGTCAATATAAGATTACATTTCACCAAGAAAAAAAAGCCAATTAGTGCATATTTTCAATGTTATCTCACTGTCAATCTCATGTTTCTCCTGAAATCTGGTGATATCGTATGTTTTTTTTCTTACCTTTAAATGCCTCATGCATTTTTACTTTGCCGTGCCAAGCACTGAAAACATATTTGGGTAGAAACACTCTGTAGTCTTCCAATAACATTTAAGGTCTGTTTTGTGACCTTCAAATGTATAAATTATGGAGTAGTCAATTAATCCTGTAAATGAACTGACCTGGACAACTTCACCAAGCCTAAACTGTAGTTTTTTGTTATTCTGACCCTCTGGGACTTGTTGCAGTATTCCCTGGATTCCTGCATAGATATCTGCATAAACCTTTACTTCAAGTTCACATTTTTTTTTAATTTGGCTCTTACAGATCTGAATTTGGATCTGGATTCACTTTAATTAATAAAATCAATAATGGGGAAAGGTAAATTTCTTTCACGGCTGTGTATCAAATACTTAATCCAATTTACCAATTTATAATAAAATGCTTTTTGTTTATATTAAAGGTAAAACTGCTATAATGTCATAGGATGGTTTAACCTTACCCTGACGAATACAAATGAAAATAATCTGCTTGCACACAAATATACAGACAAACACACAAACACATACCTACGTCCACACACAGAGGGAAATCCTTATGTATCTAAAGCCACAAAACATGGTTCAGTGCAATAATACAGCTAAATATTCAAGCTTTGCTTATCCGTTCCCTATATTTTGCACCAATATCATTACTGAAATAATCATGACATCTTTTTTTGTCACTGTATTAAACTGAGGTGATGCAAAAATGTCTCTGAAATCGTATATTTTGTTTTAATGGGCGGCGATTCAAGAATAAGACTAATGATGTACCATCAATATATGCCACAAAAAGCACTCTATTTTAGATTAATGAAAGAATGAGGCAATCATACTTGAGGTAAGTAAACATTTCCAGTCTGTGAATGGTTGTCTCCTACTGTGTTATAGTTCAGTCTAGTCCGTTCTGTGTGGTCCCAGTGGGGAGTAGTTGCAAGTGCTGAATAGTTTCCATAAGGTGAGAATGTGAGCACATTAAGAAGCTTTGATGCATTTATTACACCTGAATTTCATTTCTTTGATCTTAATACCTACTTTTTTTCCCATTAATTTCAGAGCAGACCCGTAAGATCAGACAAACTTGTCAGTGTTCTAGCTGATGTGCTACAGATGGTGAATTTCAGCATAGCTATCAATTTAAGTCATGAGTGACTAACATTATGTAATATTATGGTCCAGTGCGACCCACTGGGAAGATAGTGCCTGCTTATCATCAGCAGCACAGGTTATGTTCACTATAAAGCCTGTCCGTTGCTCCTTGGGGGAAAATCCCATGCAGCTTTCTTTTATTTTTGTAGCTTTGCAAGTTTTCTATTTTTTACCAGTTCATCTCCTCAGCTCTTCATGTGCTAAGACTTTACTCTCATCAGTCCCCCCTACTCCCGTTCTCCCATCTCACCGTCTCACTGTTAATGGTAAAATGAGTGCACCTGCTCCTGACTTCTCTCAATGAGGAACCCCCTCCTGTACCTACACATCATTTGCCCTAGTTAAGATATGAAACTTAGATCTGATCACAGTTTATTTTACATGCGTCATTATCAGAGACAAATCGTATCACTGCGATATTTGCATAATACTTCACTGTTAAAGAACAATGCAAGCCAGGGTGAAGTCACTGAGATTCATGCCAGAGCTATACTGACTAGACCAGCCTGAGGAAGCAGCCTCAGCCACACTTAGATTCACCACTATTGTAGGGTAAACACAGTCGACTGCAGTTTCACTCATCAAATGTGTCTTAAAATGTCTTGAGCAGCCGAAATGAACATCATGGATGAGACATGAGGAAATCCACACTTCATGAAGTTTGCCCACAGTTAGGATAGAATAGTTCTTACTTTTGATATAGCGCCTTTCATATCAGGACCTTAAAGCACTTCACAGGATATACAGTACATTGCAGTGACTGTGTGTTCTGTGGGCAAACGCGGCAGACAATTTGCACACAGCAATGTCCCACAATCAGCATTAAGTGAATCACCAATTTTAATTGGGGCATTTTTGACCATTATAGTAGGAGAAACTCCCTTCTCTTTACAGACATTGTCATGGGATATTGAATGTCTACTTGATCAGGCAGATGGAACCTTGGTGAAATATCTCATCTGAAGCACGGCACGTCCAACAATGTAGCACACCCAGAGTACTGCACAGGAGTGGCAGCCAAGACTGAGTTCAAACTCCCCACCTGGGACATAACCCACAACCTTGTCCTTCATAGTTGAGAGTACCACCAACTGAGCCAGCTAACACCTTTGATATGAAAAGCAACTGTGGTAACAGAGCCTTTTGTATACTATTAATGTTCTGTGACTTC